ACTATCGCAAGGTTGACCCAGCCTTCCATCTGGTTTGTAAAATGAGGACCCAGATTGTTGGAGGCAATATGCTGACTCTTTAAACCGCTTAGAGAGGGCTGTAAAAGCACTGTGAAGCGGTATATAAGTCTAAGTGCTATTGCTATTCTGAATTTGAAATGGTTATTTTAAATCCACTCAATTCTTTCGATTGGGATATGTTGCATTTGTAACATTCTGAAAGCCTGAAGCCTAACTCTTATGATCGTGATATTGTCTATTTTCCATTCCAGTTGGACTTAACCAGGGCATTTTGATTTCAGGATGCTTTGAATTTGTGAAAACCACTAATGAAAAGTTTGACCATTTTGCTGTGTAAGATCCTACCATAAAAAGCAAGCGGATAAACTAAACAGACAACAGAGCAAGACTGTTGCCAACTACATTTGGGAGCAGGATTTGGTAACCAGCAGAAAAATATATATATTTCTGTTAGTTGCTACCCACATGACCTCTCAAAAGAGTAAATCACTGGAATTTCTAATCCATTCCCATGGGAGATGTACCCCCATTCTGAAATTAGACAAGAAACAATGGATGGAAACTAATCAAGGAGAAAAGCAACCTTGATTATCTTAGAGAGGGCTGGAAAGCATTGTGAAGCGGTACATAAGTCTAAATGCTATTGCTAAATGCTATCTGTTATATGTTTTTCTCATGATGGGCTAGATCCAGTGGTGAAATCCAATTTTTTTTACTATTGGTTCTGTAGGCGTGGCTTGGTGGGCATGGTATGGCTTGATGGGCGTGGCTTGATGGGCGTGGCAGGGGAAGGATACTGCAAAATCTCCATTCCCATCCCAACCCAGGGGAAGAATATTGCAAAATCTCCATTCCCAACCCATTCTGCGGCCAGCCAGAGGTGGTATTTGCCGGTTCTCCGAACTACTCAAAATTTCTGCTACCAGTTCTCCAGAACCTGTCAGAACCTGCTGGATTTCACCCCTGGCTAGATCCCAGGCAAGTGGAAGCATCACCTTCTCAGAAAATACGGACGTCAGGAGGCCTTTAGACCGTCATGTCATCATGCCGAATGCAAGCTGCCCGCCTTTCATCGCTGCTTTCCTTTGAAAGTAATCATATTGTATCTCATTGGGTCATAAAGAGCTTGATTTATTGAAGCCAATTCATGGAGACACTAAATCATTTTGGTCAAACAGCCGCATTTCACAGCTTTCGGCTTTATCCCATTAAAATTTCAACTCTGTAATATGCAATTATGTGTATACTCAAAGTTAAGATATTATTTTCGATGTAGGCAAAAAGGAAGTATAAATTTCTCCCCTTTAATTTGTAATATATCCAGGTTTGACAGTACTAATTTGCACTGCAAAGTAATTTGGACATCAGAAGCATATGTCAACATGAAAAGTAACTGCAGCTCAGTCTCTGGGGAGCCGGGCTTAAATCTGTCTGGTTGCAGATACAGCTGATGTGCTCATCTTCCATTTTTGACCCAATAATGATAATTTATGAAACCTGCTCTTTTCTTCTCCTGACAATTTGTTCCACTCAGGGAGCAAAGAAATAGGTATCATCATTCTTTATTTTATTTTATTTTTTTCTCCACTGGATTTCTTAGCGAATGGGGAAAGTGTCCTGATGAAGCATTTGATTCTTTCATTGTACATACCTTCCTTGCTTTACCCAAAGGAAATAAGATGTAACGTATCTGGAATTTGTTGATTGGATTTGGGTTTCCAAATCTTTTGGTGGGCATCTGGGAAGCTGAGGTTGAAGGAAGGTCCTGAGCTCCGTGTCAGAATGTGGGAGGTGGGATATGGATTTCCCCCTTTTTAAAAACTCTTATTTCCAGTCCTCCATTGTGGTCTAGAACCATATTCTGCCAACTTTTCTGAACCAGGAGGTGTGACATCATAAATTATTTGAATCTGTATATATGTGCAAATCAGTGGTGGGTTCCTCCCGGTTCGGTCCGGTTCGGCCGAGCTGGTAGTGGTGACGATATGACGTCACCGAACCGGTTCTCCTCCCCGCCCCCCCACCCCCCCACCCATGTTATTCTTACCTTTTATTTGGTCCCACCCCCACTCTATTGCTGCCTCCTGAGTCCCAGCTGATGACTAGAGGGAAAAAAAACTGTTTAAACTCTTGCCGCGGGGCTTCAAAGGGCCGTCCTACAGCTGATCAGTGTTAAAAGCAAACAAATGAGTCGGGTCGTAAGTGTGAGGACTGGTCGTAAGTGTGAGGACCTTCCAGAAATGACTCTGACCAGCTAGCCACGCCCACCAGTCACATGACCTCCAAGGCACACCAACAAAATAAGCCACGCCCACAGAACCGGTAGTAAAAAAATTTAGAACCCACCCCTTGTGCAAATGCACACTTCCATAAAAAGTACAATCCACATGTGTGGATTTCTTTATCGTACTACCTTCAGCTCCCTTCCAAAGCTGTGGTCCACCTCTACTGTCTTCCTGCCTATTTTGGGGGTTGGAGAAACTCCCTTCATTGCATCTTAGGCAATAGCTGTCTATGGCGATTCTCAGTCAAACCAGGTCATGGTTGTCCCGAAGGTGCTTTTTCAAAAGGCAACTGGCTTTTTTGGGGTTTTTTTTTTCCTTTGAAAACGTTTCGCTTCTCATCCAAGAAGCTTCTACAGAACCGAAGAAGCTTCCTGGATGAGAAGTGAAAGATTTTCAAGGGGAAAAAAAACAACCCAAGAAAGTCTACTTGCCTTTTGGAAAAGCACATTTGGGTTTTGGCCATGAAATTTGCTACATTCCTGGCATGAAAGCTAAAGCCCCCCCCCCCCCCTCCCTCCATCTCTTGTCTGTCCTTTTTACTGAAAATTTTGAGGTAAGCTTGGGGTTGTGCAGAGGACAAGACCAGACGATTTATACGTGGTATGTGATTTCTGCCTTCATCGCATTTTTCTCCCATGAAAACCCGGCCCCAAAGTCCTTTCTTTCCAACTTGCAAAGCATTTGCCTTAGGTTCGTGATGGCGAACCTATGGCACGCGTGCCCAAAGTGACACACGGAGCCCTTGTCGCCTGGCACACGCGGCGTCAGCCGTTCCTCTTCCGGGTTTCTGGCACGCTTGTGCCCGTGACGATCAGCTGGGCTTTGTGCATGCAACAGGGTGGGAAACCAGAAGAGCTGATCTTTCCAGCGTGAACATGCGCATTGGCCAGCTGATTATCACATGCGCATGTGTGACATTAACCGGAAGACTTGCCAGCCAGCGTGCATGTACACGCCGGAAAAAGGAAGTAAATTTTTTGGCGCGCGCATGCCCCGTGGGCAACTCCTTCTTTGTCGTGGCCCAGACGAGCGTGCGTGCTCCCTTTTCGACACTTGGTGCCAAAAAGGTTTGCCATCACTACTTTAGGTTGATGCTTAATGGTTGTAATAGTGAATAATGAATTGACCTCACCCTGAATAGGACAAAACGATCCTACCTCAATATGCTGGTCAGATTGGGGTGAAAATAAAAGGACTCTAATATTCAATGGAACTGCAGAGAATTTTACTGATCTGGATAACAAGGCCTGGCCTGTAAACCTACAGGGGAGTAACAAGTATAATGTGGCTTTAAAAATAGTTCCTACGACTGCAATAATTTCAGACCAATTGAGACTTCTCTGTGTGAAGAAATTTACTGAAAAATAAACTACAGGTACTCCTTGACAGGGGTGAAATGCTCCCAGTTCGGACCGGATCGCCCGATCCGGTAGCGATGGCGGCGGGTGGTTCGGAGAACCGGTAGCAAAAATCCCTGTTGCCCCCCCCCCGCAATGCCCAGCTGAGCCGCACGATCATCAGAGGCTGTTTTTTTTTTTAACTTTTAAAAGCATTTTTTCTACAACCTCTTCCGACGAAAAATGCTTTTAAAAGTAAAAAAAAAAAAAAAAGCCTCTGATGATCGGACGGCTCAGCTGCGATCGTCAGAGGCTTTTCAAAGCATTTTTTTCTGCAACCTCTTGGCCGAAGAAATGGTTAAAAAAAATGCTTTGAAAAGTCTCTGACGATCCCAGCTGAGTTGCCTGATCGGCAGAGGCTTTTCAAAGCATTAGAAAAAATGCTTTGAAAAGTTTTTTTTTAAAAAAACTTTTCACGCCCATCCAGTCACATTACCCCCCCCCCCACCAAGCCACGCCCACAGAACCGGTAGTAACAAATTTTACATTTCAACCCTGCTCCTTGAGTTACAACAGTTCCTTTAGTGATCATTCTAAGTTACAAGGCCACTGGAAAAAAGTGAGTTATGACCGTTTTTCACACTTACAACTGTTGCAGCAACCCAGGGTCATGTGATCAAACTTCAGATGCTTGGCAACTGGCATGTATTTATGATGGTTGCAGTGTCCTGGGCAGTGGTGAAATCCAATTTTTTTTACTACCGGTAAAAAAATGTGATTGATACTGGTGATACTTCCCTACCGGGAAGGATATTGCAAAATCTCCATTTCCATCCCACTCGGGGGCCAGCCAGAGGTGATATTTGCCACTTCTCCGAACTACTCAAAATTTCCGCAGCCGGTTCTCCAGAACCTGTCAGAACCTGCTGGATTTCACCCCTGGTCCCGGGTTCACCTGATCCCCTTTTGCGACCTTCTGACAAGCAAAGTTAATGGGAAAGCCAGATTCATTTAACAATCGTGTTACTCACTTATCAAATGCAGTGACTCACTTAACAATTGCGGCAAGACAGGTCATAAAATGGGGCCAAATTTACTTAACTGTCCTGCTTACCAACAGGTGTTTTGGGTTCTGTTGTGTTCATAAGCTGAGGACTACCTATAGTAATGGCTTAAGATTTCTGGTTGCTTGTGTACTGAGCTTCTATTGAAACAGACAAGCAGCAAAGTTGAACAATAATGGCTCACATCTTCAGTCGGCAAAACCACGTAAGTTGTGGCAGTGTGACCAAATGTGCCGATATCTCCGAAGGTTGTTCAGTGGGGATGACCTGTTTTCCTTCTTTTCTCTCCGTAGTCTCCCAACGTTCACAACTACCCAGATATGGAAGCCGTGCCCCTCTTGCTGAACACCATGAAGGCAGAGCCAGAAGAAGACGCCTTGTGCACGGATCATTTCCAGACGCAGACGGAGCCGGTGGACTTGTCCATCAACAAAGCCCGATCCTCCCCTCTTGCCACCTCGTCTTCACCAGTATCAATCACAGCCTCTGCGTTGTCCCCCTCTTCGACTTCAACGTCTTCTAGTCGGCCGGCTTCATCCCCAACGGTAATAACCTCGGTGGCATCGGCAACATCGGCCCCATCAGTATTAACTCCAGGTCCGCTTGTGGCATCTGCCTCTGGTGTTGGAGGGCAACAATTTTTGCACATAATCCACCCGGTTCCACCTTCGAGCCCCATGAACCTACAGACCAACAAAATGAGTCACGTCCACCGCATTCCTGTGGTGGTGCAGTCGGTACCCGTGGTCTACACTGCGGTGAGATCACCAGGGAATGTCAACAACACTATAGTAGTACCACTACTAGAGGACGGGAGAAGTCATGTCAAAGGTAAGAAGGACTCTTACAAAATAAGACTTCTAGGGTGGCACAATGGAAGAATGCTTGCTGAATCATTCTGGTTCACTCATCTTTTGAAAACCAATCAAAGAGTCTTCTTTTTCTTCCGTGTCTAGATCAGGGGTGAAATGCTCCTGGTTCGGACCGGATCACCCGATCAGGTAGCGATGGCGGCGGGTGGTTCAGAGAACCAGTAGCAAAAATCCCTACCCCCCCCCCCCCCCCCCGCCCCGCCGCGCCGCGCGATCATCAAAGGCTTTTTTTTTTTTACTTTTAAAAGCATTTTTTCTATTACCTCTTCGGCCGAAGAGGTTGTAAAAAAGATGCTTTTAAAAGGCTCTGACGATCCCAGCTGACTTGCTTGATCGTCAGAGGCGTTTAAAAGTAAAAGGCAATGCTTTTAAAAGTAAAACAAAAAGATTGCGCGCCACAACTGATCACCCCCTCTCGCACGCTATTCTACTTACTGCATGCCTCCTTTTGTCCTGCACTGCACGTGCGCACCTCGCATTTGTTGCGTGGTGCACACTGCACATGCACAGCCAGCGAACCGGTAGTAAACCGGTTCAGATTTCACCACTGATCTAGAGCAAACTTTAAACTGCCAGAATCAAGCCACTTTTTTGGCTTTTTTGCTGGCCAAAAATAAGTCATTATCAATACAAGAGCCTTGGTAGTACAGTGGTTTAATGCACCCTGTAATTAACACAGCTGCCTGCAATTTCTGCAGGTTCGAATCTCATCAGGCTCAAGGTTGACTCAGCCTTCCATCCTTTCTAAGGTAGGTAAATTGAGGACCCAGTTTGTGGGGGCAATAAGCTGACTTTGTATAAATATACAAAAGTATGAAGGCTATTGCTTAACGCATTGTAAGCCGCCCTGAGTCTCCGGAGAAGGGCGGCATATAAATCAAATTAAAAAAAAAAAATAAAAAAAAAAAAAATACATGTTTCTGGAAGTAGCTGATATGCCAGCAGATGGGCTGGGCTGTGTCTCTCCACATTCACATACTGTAGTACAGTGATGGCTAAACTTTTCCGGACCAAATGCCGAAAGTGTATATGCGTGTGCAAACCCCCCCAAATGCAATGTGTGTGTGGCCCCATGCATGCCCCCTGCCCCCCATGCATGTGTACCCCTTGCATGCACCCCGCCCCCGCCCCCGGTGCATGTGTGTGCACCCCTCCACGCACCACGCCCCCCACGTATGTGCAGCAGAGACCCGACAACCAGCTGGCCGGTGGGAGGCACGTGTGCATGCATGGTGGAGATGAACTAAGACAATGGCACGCATGCCCACAGAGAGGGCGCTGTGTGCCACCTGTAGCACACGTGCCATCACGGCTGTAGTGTGTTGTCATCCACTAAGAGCCTTCACTTGAGTATATTGGTTTTACAGTATATTTAGGTATTCCAACTCTCAAATTAGTCAGGGTCCTCTAAGTAGTATAAGGAAAGTCGATCTTTCAGCTATATTCTCCTTTAATGTTATTGCTTGCTCGATGGTCACCTTCCTCCATCTTTTAATTCGATTTTGTTCTTGATTCTCAATTTTGTTCACCAACCAAAGATGAATGTGTATTAACTGCTCTTTGGGCCAGTTATTGGAGAGACTAGCTAATGAGCCACGCAGATGATATTCCAGAGTATTTATAACTCAATTTCCAAGTGGAACTTTTTGAATTCATGTGCAGCCATTTACTGTTAATTCCCCCGGTGCCTTAGATAAATTCCTGGCTTGCGCCTGGCTTCCCTGTACATTGGAGCTAATAGAATGGATTTATCTTACATGTTTGTGGTGAGAATTGTTGTGAGAAAATGTATGTGCATGTCTGGGTCACAATGTAGTCTTTAGAAGAAATAAATTGCAATTAGCAGTAGTTTTAGAATCGTGGGAGCTCTGCGTGAACTCTCTTTTGGGGGAGTAAAAGGAGTCCCTGCAAGTTTTACTCTGCTAGTCATAGCCAATTTTAGGGGCGGTGTTCATTCTAAGCCATTGAGCCAATACTGTCTGAAGACATTTCCATAGTCATGTGGCCAGTGTGTGCCACAATGTGAAGCATGCAGTGAAGCACGGAGCACTTTCACCTTCCCACCAAAGTGGTACCTATTTATCTACTCACATTTACATGCTTTCAGACTGCTGGGAGAGGACAGGATACCCGTCATATGGCACTTGAGTCTAACACCTGGGCTGCCAGCTTTTCATTGATAAGCCCAGCGTCTTAACCACTTAACCATCACGCTGCCCCTCTATTAGAGGAGTGGGGAGGCCAAATGCAAAATGTGTTGGATGCAAGGATAGAAGTGTGGAGTTTGCGCCACAATGTCACTGTGCACTTGATGTAGAATGCCCTTGGATTATCTTTAAAAATTATCTATTAGATGGAAGGAGTTGTCATCAAATTTGAAAATGGAAATTTAGGCACATTGTCTAGGCAGCAAAAATAAAAATAAAAATGACCTCAACAGATTTGAACATCTCGGCCAAATCCAATATGGTGACTAATGATGTCAGGTCCTGCATCTGGGTAAGAAAACACCAACCAGCTGAGAGAAGGTGGCATTCTGAGACTGGCTTGGTGGATTCTTGAACTGAACAGGGAGAGTAGAATTGGAGATCTGAATTTACAACCTCCATCTGCTTCTACAAATGCAGAAAGGACCTGTACATGTATGCCGTCCACCAGATGTCCACCAGATGTTAAGAGAAAAATCAGATGGACATTTTATTGAACATCACTGGTGTTCCACAAAATGGGTGAACTCTGAAGCAAGACATTTGTAGGCATGCTGGTTTTGTGGGTGTGATTCCAGATGTGTCACTCTAAGAGTCTATGGAGATTCTCAGTCATCCAAGTCAGGGGTGGGTTCTACTTACCTTTACTAATGGTTCCCAATAGGCTCGCTTTGCTCGAGCGCTGTCCTTTTGCACATGCGCAGATCACTGATGATGACATCTGGGGCAGTGGGCGGGGCCTCCTGCTGATTTTACTACCGGTTCTTGCGAACCGGTCCAAACCGGGGGCAATCCACCACTGATCCAAGTCATGGTTGTCCCAAAGGCCCTTTTTTCTTCTAAAGGGCAACTGGACTTCCTTAGTTTTTCTTCTTCTTCTTTGAAAACGGTTTGCTTCTCATCCAAGGAGCTTCTTGGATGAGAAGCAAAACATTTTCAAAGAAAAAACCAAGAAGATCCAACTGCCTTTGGAAGAAGCACCTTTGGGTTTTTCTTTGAGGTTTTGGATTGGGTCCTGCTTTTTCCTTGTGCATAAAATAAGTAGAGATATGGGAGTATATTTCCATACATTCCTTTACTTTTTCTCACTGTGAGCACCATCCAGGAGTAGGGAATAAAAGTAATTTCAATCATGATCTCTTGCTACATTTTAATAAAATCCGGCACTCCAAGAAAAAAAAAGATCTGCTTTAAGGGTATCAGCCAAAAAAAAAGTATATTTAACAATCTTGACGTTATTTTTCATTTGCCTTCACATTAATTTTCACCGTGAGGGTGATTATATACTGCTGCTCTTTCTGCTACTAGCAAGCAGTTGAGTATTTTGTAAATGTATTCCCAAATCTTCAGAATTTATTTTCTTTCTCAACTCCTGGACCTCTTTGGGAAGTGCAGCTCTACAATGCGCAAAGATTATTTGAATTCCTTCTGGTCTCTGGATATATAATCCTGACTTTATAAGAGCCAATGGAAGATTTGTGTTAAGAACATTGGTGTGCTGTGACTGTGACATCCCATTAGAATTTGTCTGAAATTCTCCCATGAGCTGCATGGAAACACAAATCTCCATTTTCTTAGTTCCTTCCAGCAGCCGAATCAGAGAAGGAGGAGGAGGAGAAGGAGGAGGGAGTCATGATCAATATCAGGGCAACCTGGGAGCTCCAAGAGGGAAAAGGAAATGGAGCTGGCAGAGAGGGAGACAGAGGCGGAGCCTGGGCTGTCCGTCAGCCCTCAGATGGAGAGTCAACAGCCCCCAGGTCTGGAGGCGGCTGATGAGGAAGAGGAGGAACAGTTGGGTCCAGTGCCTGACACGTGGATGCGCAGAAGGCAGAGGAGAGGAGAGCAGTGGAAATCCATGGGCTGATCCTTGGGACGGAAGAGCCACCTCTGCTAGTGAGGGCCCACCCTAGCTCTGGGGATAAAAGGCAGGGGGCAGAGATGAATAGGTATGGCAGACAACTATTCATCTTCCGGACGGATGGACTTGTTAGCCTGCTGGCAAATCTTTTGAGTTCACATCAGAGGGTTTGTCATGTTTGGGGAGATGGGTCAAAAGACCCAAGTGCAAAAGATCTGATCACAGGTGTGTCACTTAAAGACCAGCGTTTACCTCTAGAAGACCCTCTGAAATTTTATTTTCCCCAGGATAAAATTTGCATTCCTACTGCCATCCACAGATTCTCAATTTACATTGAGAACTTGGCTAATCTTTCATCTACTGTACCCCTGTTGGACGCCTATATGAGCTTCTCACAAGGGGACAGAAATATAACCTGCGCAATCATATTCTTCTCATGTGCACTTGACACATTAGGAACTCTTTTGAGGCTGATCATATATTTGGGTTAAAGACTTAATTCCGTAAAATGTTTGGGTGCACTGATCCCTATTGGTCCAGATTGTGTGATGCAGGGGTGGGTTCTATATTTTTTAATTACCGGTTCTGTGGGCGTGGCTTATTTTGTGGGTGTGGTTTGATGGTCATGTGACAATTCTTTAGGATTTAGCAGAGGTACAGGTCTACCAGGCTTTTAACTGCTTGCAGAGCTGTACCGGTCTACCTATTTGTTCTTAGAGCGTTCTGGTCTACCCATTTGTTTTTGGAGGCACCGGTCTACCCATTTGTTTTTGGAGGCACCGGTCTACCCATTTGTTTATGGAGGCACCAGTCTACTCATTTGTTTTTGGAGGCACCGGTCTACCCATTTGTTTTTGGAGGCACCGGTCTACTCATTTGTTTTTGGAGGCACCA